GACAGAAGTGATCGGGCACCCCCGCCTGGCCGTTCTAACGCAACTTTGGTTACTGTATGTAACTTCGCGCTTAGTGGTACGACTGCTGCTGCACGAAGCTGTTGCTAAGCTGCCACTACGGCGGCGACTGTGTTGTTAGTACTGCTAAGACTGGTGCCGTGAAAACAGACAGAGTAGTTAGGGTTTCTATCACGTGTGGTCGCACAAACCCATAAGGGCATAAAGCCCTTTCATGCACAGTGAAGCACCGTATGTGATGAGCTGGACCAGCATGCAATATGGGGCGATGCTAAATTGCACATGTAGTGCGGCATGCGGAACAGAGTGCCAGTCAGTAGGCCCTGACATAAAGGCATGTGCATAAAAAAACATTTGAGATGTTAGATTAGATGGTCGACCAAGCAGCATCTAAACCCTAAACCCTAAACATTGAGGGGCTGGTTTTTTTTCCACGCTGATGTGGTCGGATGGAAGGTTTAAAGTTGAAAGTGACCATGTCGCATGCCCAAAACCCGACAAGAGCCCTGAAGAACTAAACCTGAGCCCTAAGCACGTATGTTCACGTGTAGAAAGGACGGCTCGGAGCTTGAAGTGTTCCCGGTCTAGACAGTGAAGCGTTCTAATTATTCTGCAGGCGATCTGCGTATCCGCTGGGGCCTCGGCAATTTGAGATAAGCTTGGAAGCTTTGATACCGTGAACGTTGGCAACGGTGGCGCTATGGGTGTGCGGTCACGCCCTGACGATCCATGTTGTTTTTCAAAGCTTATCATGCAGCCTTTTAGTTCCTCACCAACTGCCACTGAGTCACAGCTGAGGGCCAAACAACGGTTGGCACAGATCGGCGTCAGCATTTTCAAGAACTCCGTGCCCATGAAGCCAGTCGAGGTCAGACAGGGCGAGTCTTTCGGATAAGGGCCTCGTGTCCCCATTGTTGCGTGTGCCACGGCGACAAGGCATGTCGGGGCTTGCTGTGGAAGGCACGGCGGGGCTCAGACAGTCCATGTGAAGCATGCAGGAAGCAACGCCTACATTGCCTGAAGTGAGCCGCCGATCGAACTGACACTTCCATCTGGAGGCCCTTTAGGCCCCACACTACCGCAGGAGCTCGGAAACATTGGCAATCGTTTCTTCTGTGCAGTGAGCTTCCCGAAGGGAGGCGGCTGCACGTTTAAACACGCTCTGGGAATCCCAGCCCTTGAGCTGCAGTGGCTCTCGAATGGACGTTTTCATGGGATTTGGGGGGAGGGGGGGGGGTAATAAAAGCACAGTGCATTCAATCTGGGCAAAGTAGCAAAGGGATCATGCTAGTTTCTTATCCTTCAGACCCTGATTCACCCCTCCTTGTCAGAAGCGTGTGATTCCTGGCTCAAGTGCCCTATCTGACATACGTGATAGATGTTAGGTTGTGTTTAAAGATACTTCTGTGCGTTCAAGCAGTACCTATAGTCTCCATTGTAATTCTTTTTTGGGGATACCTTATAAAATCCTTAATATATAATTAGTTAAACCAAAAAAAGGAACTACAATGGAGACTAAAGTTAGCTGCCTAAACCCTAAACCCTAAACCCTAAACCCTAAACCCAGCTGCCTAAACTCCCAACCCTGAAGCTGCCGAATCCGCACTTCGCTCCCAAGAGGTAAAAGGGTAGTTCTCTAAATTAGGGTCCCTTGTTAGGTCAATAATATAGTACGGCACCCTTATGAAAAGGACCCCAAAAGGGACCCTAATCTAGAAAACTACCCAAATCGTCCGGACAGCACAGAAAAGCCCAAGACCAAGTGCTTTAAATCTCAAGGGCCTGGTACCGCGGAGACAAGCAATTCGCGCACCTGTACAGACGCACTATGAATGAGAGAGCATAGCAGGCGATGCATGGTTGCACAGATGAATCCGGGAGGAAGATAGGCCCGCTAAGGTCGTCATGAGCGAATAAGAATCTAGTGAGTGAAGCTCTGACCAGTGAGGTATCACGTCCTAGATACACTGTGCCATGTACATGCGGATATAAGTGCAGTCTGCATTGCCTGCACCGCGATATAAAGAAGGTGTCACAGCTGGACGACATGCTGGGCGCAACCAGTTTAAAAGCTATACCATAAAACCAGAGAAGCTCCGTGGCTCCTGGACTATCCGTGGTGTTCTGCTATATCAGCCTTTTCCTGAAAGTCCTGTCGGGGACACTTA